CTCGCGCTCCTGCCCAGGCCTGAACGGCCTGTCCCTCCCCCGGGCTCCCTGCCTCCCCCCACACCCCGCAGCAAGGGGCCCGGGGCTGCAGGTGGCCGGCGGTCTAGGGAAGAGTCAAAGGCACTTGCACCCCACTACTCCTGGACGTCTGCTGCGCTGACACAGCCGCTCCACAGTGCAAGTGCACGTCTCATTCCTGCTCCCCTCCCCCGCAACTGCTCCCCAACCCAGCACCCTGGCCAGTGCCTGGCAGCCCCAGGGCCTGGGGGTCCAGGTTTCCACTTGCAGCCAGAAGCCGCAGAGGGGGTGGGGCGCTTTCCTCCTGCCCTCACCCCCCCACCCCCCCAAAAGGTCTATGCTACTGTCAGCACAATGCACATCAGGTCCGCAGGCCAAGGAAGACACTGGCCTTGAGAATCAAAAGTGGACAAAAGCCTCATTTGTGCCTCAAAGGCCGGCCTGCCAGGGAGGTGGGCAGGAGAGACTCTCCAGAGCAGGGACTGAGGCCGTGATGAAGGATGACAGGGGGCTCTGGGGAAGGACCTCTGGGCAGGCTCTCCCTGAGGGCTTCAGGCAGGCCAGGAACCTGGTGACTGCACTTCCTGCCCTGTTGGGTGGGGACACGCCCTGCCCCTTTCTCTGGTCTCTGGCCTTTCCTCTCTGTCCCTCCTAAAGACGCCTTGTCCTTCCGGCGTTCAGGTCAGACTCCTCCTGCAGCCCCTGAGTAGAACCACCTAGAAGCTGACCACATTGATTTCCCTCCACATCACAGGCCTCCGCCGGCCAACAGTTAGACTGCAGGAGATGAGACTCTAAGCCAAAGGGAGGAAAGAGAGATGGGAGCGGGCGGGGGACAGAGGTTCTGCGTGGCAATTGTCAGATAAGCGTCTAAGGTCACTTAAGGGCCATGAAGCAGGGTGAGCGATGGCCTGGCTGGAAAGACTGGCCACTCAGAACTTAGCTGACAGCATCTCCTGACTTAGGCCTATACCCCAGCCTACCCTGAATCGCACAAAAACAGAAGGAAAGGGGTCCAGCCGCAAGAAGCTGAATGGGGAGGCAGAAGGACTCCAGAGAAAGGGGGGCGGAGGCTGGGGGAGCCAGGAGAGTGCCCACAGGATGATAGCGAACTCCACTCAGGAAAGTGGCGTCTGCCCAGTCACTTGGTCTGGCACTGCTATTAATTGTTGCAGCATCCTGCGAGCTCGGGAAACATCCCAACCTCAGGCCCAGCGGGGGTGGGGGTGGGGGTTCTAGGGTGGCTTCCTCAGTGAGCGTGTTAAAAAATGCTAACCCAAGACCAGTCACTGGGTATACAACCCCCCTCCCCCCAACACACCCCCTACTTAATCAGGTAAGTTTTCATAAAGTTCAATTTGTTAGGATTCAAAGATTGGGGCCTCCCTGGGGGTGCAGAGGTGAAAGCGCAGCACTGTGAAGCTGTCCACGGCCACTGAGCATGAGTTTGATCCCCGCCCCGGAGGTGACCTACAGGGCGCGGCAGACCTCTCCTTTCCCCCACTGCTCCCGTCAGCAGTGCACTTTATCAATCTGCCTGTTTTGCTCCCCACTCCGTCTCTGGGGAAGCCTCTCACCGCCCCTGCACCTCTGGCCTGTGCCCCAGTTCTGTATGCATAAATAAATACATCTTTAAAAAAAAGATTCAAAGAACTGTCTTTCATTCTTTGGCATTATTTTATAAATAATGATTGTAAAAGTATTAAATTGGTTTTCTTTCTTTTTTATGTTTTTGTGTACTTATTTAGCCACATTAAAAGGTGCAATGTTATATTTTGCCTCCAAAAGGTTTGTTGTTTCAATTTTATTGAACTAAGAAATTCAAATTGCTGTAAGTATCAGTCAAGTGGCTAAGAAGAGCACAAAGCATATTCAGACACAGAGCCACCACTTCGGCTTGAAATAGGATTGGCAGACTGAAAACTGGAAGCAAGATGCCCACTTAAAACTTACATGTTAGATATAAAAGAGTAATCTT